ACACTGGAAGAAGAAATTCAAAATGACACCAAAAAAAGTGGGAAAATATTCCATGTTCCTGGATTGGAGGAATATAATCAAGCTGTCAATCCAACCCAAATTAATCTACAAATTTAATGCAATCCCAATCAAACTACCAGAAACAGAAAAAACACAGAAATAGAAAAAACAATCACAAAACGTGTCTGTAAGCATAAGAGGCCCTGTATTGCCAAAGCAATACTGTGCAAGGGGAATCAAGTAGGAGGCATCTCCCTTCCTGACCTCAAAACAGGTTACAGGGGCTAGCAGGTGGCGTGGTGGTTAAGGGCACTGGACTCCCACATGACATATCACAGTTCGAGTCCCACACCTAGCAGCTTTCTTTCTCACTTTCTCTCGCTCTGTCCCTCTCTGGTCAAATTAAAATAAATAAATAAATAAAATTAAATAAAGTAATTCTTTAAAAATATTACAAAGCTGTGATAATTAAAATAGCAAGGTATGGGCACACAAGCAGGGAGGCCAATGGAACAGAACTGGGAACCCCCACATGAACCCCAGAACATGCAGCCAATCGGTCCTTGACCAAGGGCACAAGATGATCCAGTGGGAAAAAGAAACTCTCCTCAGCAAATGGAGCTGGGAGAACTGGATACCCACCTGCAGAGGGACAGAACTTCTGGATCCTTATCTCTCACCACTAACAAAAATTAACTCAGATGTATTCAAACTCTAAACATAAACCTCAAACTATAAAAATACAGGTGGAAAACACAGGAAAAACTCTTGGAGACCTTGGAATAGGCAACGACCTCATAAAGAAACCTCTGAAGCACAAGCAGTCGTTTCCAAAACAGACAAACGGGACTGCATTTGGCGGAGAACCTCTGCACAGCCAGAGAGACAGCAGAGTGAGAAGACGACCCTCGGCGTGGGGGAACATGTTTGCAGACTACACCTCAGAAAAGGGACTGACAACCGGAATATACAAAGAACTCAAGCAGCTTATGCACAAAAAAGTAACCGATCCAACTAAAAGACAGGAAAATGAACTGAACAGACAATTCCCCAAGAAGACATCAGAACAGCTGAAAAGCATACGAAAACGTGCTCGACATCTCTTATCAAAAGGGCAACAGAGACAGGGAGGGTACAGGAGAGGGGAAAAGTACCCTGAATTGACAAAAGAAAAAAGAGCAGCAATTTGCTGATGATAATGTCTATAATAATGTCTTTATCTTGACTGATATGCATGGTATTCATGCTAGAAAAGGCAATGTTGTACACGGTAAAGATAAATGTGATTAAATGTAAATTAAAATAATGAAAAATTCAGTAAAAACTTGAAAGAGGAAAAAACAAAAAAAAACGGGCGGGTGCATGCATACCCAAGAGGAAAATGGAGAAGAAGAGACTGTGGTGTGGTCATCCCCCCTGGGGAGTGATTTCTCACTTTCTGTCTGTCTCTCCAGGGAACACAAGCACCCTATAGCAAAAATCTCTCTCTTTAAAAAACAAAACAAAATTTAAAAAAACATTATTATCCAAATACTTTTCTAAGAATACAATGACTAATAAAATACAATCCAAGCTAGGTCAGCAGGTGGTGTGATGGTTAAGGTACTGGATCCCACATGACCAACTCGGCAGTTCAAGTCCCAGACCAGACCGCTTGAAAAGCATGCCAGCACGTGTGTGTGCCCCAAATCCCAAGATGACAATAAGGGACTGTGGTGTGGCCATCCCTACTGGGGGATGATTTCTCACTTTCCCTCTCACTCTGTCTCCTCTGTCTCTCTTTGACAAGTACATGTACCCTATACAAAAAAAAAAAAAAAAACTAAAGAAAAAAAAAAAACCAAAAGTATAATCCATGACCTTCAGGTGTTCATAATTCTAGAAGAGGAGACAGACATGCAAATAAACAATTACAATTCATTGTGATTACAAGCTCTAGTAGAGTCCTGCAGCTTGGAGGAGGAAAAGGCAAAAAAAGCAGCGTCCTAAATACCGAAGGGTAATTACCGAAACTCTGGTGAATGGCAGGGAAATTCAGTGTTAATACTACCCTTATTTGGCTTTAGAAACTGAATCACCACCACCAGACATTAAATTAAGTTGATTAAAACAAGGACAATGCCCCTCCTTTATCTTAAAAGCTTGACCTGGGGTCTGACCTGGGAGCCCTAAAGGAGTGAGCCTGGCCTCTCCCTACCAGGCTAAGCAAGCTTTGCCAGCACGCCCTTTAAACGTGCAAATCCAGGTGTGCTCCCAGGCCCCATGCATGTCACTTCAGCACGCCTGTCACTCAAGCCTTATTTTCAAAGTTAAAAGACAATTGTGGGTCTGGTTGGTAAGGTGTTGCCACATGAAAGCATGCTTACTGTTTCCATTACAAATACAGACCACTTAAATCATTTAACATTTACCTAAAAACGGTAGGATCTGATGAGCTGGTGTCAGAGTACTGCACAGATAATACTGAGTGTGCTCATTTCTGCAAGCACTTTAAAAACTTCCTGCAGACAGAAGGCAAAGGAAATACTCCAAAAATGGCTTTCAGTGGGAACCAGCAGTTAGCGTAATGGCTATGTCGCTGGACTCCCACCCACATAGTCGACTGCGGTTCGCGGCCCAGACCTGGTGGCTTAAAACTCACGCCAGGTGCGTGTGCGTGCATGCCCAAGATCCCGAGAGGAGAATGGAGGAGAAGGGACTGCGGCATGACCACCCCCCTGGGGGGTGATTTCTCGCTTTCTGTCTCTATCTCTCCCTTCTTTCTGGCGTGCACAAGTGCCCTATAGCAAAAACCTCTTAAAAAAAAAAAAAAAAAAAAAGCCCACCACAAAGACATATGGGCAACAGATCAAATAATCTTTAATAAGATTCATATGTATTAAAAAAAAAAACCTGAAGAGTAAAAAGGCTTTGACTTACAAGACACAAAACATAAAGCCACTATCATAAAAATTTTGCTTTACCAGGCCCCTGTGCCAGTCTGATGAAACCTTGGAGCCACTCTAAGGATTTTTTTAAAGTATAAAATAAAATACACCGGCTCGATGACCACCAATTATACTCAAACAT